TTTTGTTCAAAATTTTGGGTATTTATAAATAGATAGTTTAGATGGCAGTATTAACCTTCATTTAATTTAGATCCTCTAAATTAGCATTAATTTCTACAATTAAAGATAATTGTGTTGAAGTAGATTCTAAAATTTTAATTTATAAAACATAGATAACATCAAGTAAAATGATCTAATCAATTTCAACTACAGGAATTATAGTAATTTCATATATGTCTTATTAAAGAGATGGGATAGAGGGTTTAATAAAATTAGTAAAATTTGAAATAGTTTCATTTAATTTAACTTTATTAGAAAATGATAATTAAACATATTAAATCTATTAAGTTATATTAAGATATTACAATTAAATTATCGTTTAAGGATAACAAATACTAGATTTATTTAGTTAATTATTACAAAACCAATTAGATTCAATTTCACATAAAATTGAACAGCCATCATCATCAACTAAATTACCATCATCACATTCTTCATCATTAGAATAAATACCATTTCCACATTTATTTTATATTTATGCATCTTCTTCATCATCCATAATTTAAGTTTAATTATAAACTTCACAATAATCCTTCAGAATTATATATCCTTCTATGCATTCAATACATAATCCTAATTGACAAATTTAGCATTCTTTTTCACACTAAAATTAACAATTAAAACAACCATCATAAGGTATATCATTTCCATCTTCACATTCTTCTAATCCAATTATAATATAATCATCTCCACATATTGGTTTACATGAATTCTTATATAATTCAAAATATTGTTCACAAACCAAACATGTATTTCTATCAGCACAAGATCTGCAAAAGGGAAAACATTCAAATTTACATTCATAACATCCATCTCCATCATTATAATTGCCATCATCACATTATTCCATTGAAGATTTAGCTACTTAACCATCTCCACAATATTGATAACAACTATAATCTATAAGTTGCCAACCATCAAGACATTAATAACATTTATTTTCAATACAATTTATACATTCCAATAAACAACTTTATTAGCATTTGTAGCATCCATCAAATTATATGTTATTTTAATCATCACATTATTCTCTCTCTATTACAATTCCATCATTACATAAGGGAGTACATTTATATTTATTATATTCCAATTTATAATATTCATCACATTCTAGACATTTATCATAAAGACTTTCCTTACAATATTGTATAACTGGTATTCTACATTAATTATAAAAATATCCAAAAATTCCAAAATCTTATAGATTACATGTTAAACTACTGACTAAAGTATATTTAGAATTTTCGTTATTAAATAGATTATGTTAGTAATGACCATTCTCAATCAAATTATTAATTCTATTAATACAATTTCTATTTTCTTAATCATCCTAAATCTCATAACCATCACAATTATATTTACAATATCCATTTATTAATTCATATCTAGGTTAACATTATTTGCATTTCCCAAATTAACATTTACTACAATTCAATGGACATGAATATTTACACATATAACATCCATCATACTCTACTTGATTACCATCATCACACTCCTCATCACATGTAATAATTAAATCTCCACATTTCTTTTTACTATATTATTTTAATCTCTTTTCATTCATCTAATATTAAGATTCACAAGTTAAAAATAACCAAGTTAATTCATTTATATATTAATAACATTCTAATGAATCATACAAATATTAGCATTAATTGTGATTTTTATTTTTCTGTGCAATTGGTAATTTCAGATTTAAATTGT